TGAAAATATTATACTTTCAACAATTTTCATTAACTCTCTGCTATTAAATCACTTATTTTCAAAATTCTTGTTCAACTGTTTGGCCATTCCTCCACAAAGTGAAGCGAAACCTCAAGGAGTATAAAATTTTAATTCTCATCTCTAAAACTGTTCGAATCCTTAAAGATCAAAACCTTAGAGAAGTATTTCTTTCAGCTTTTTTTTGACTTCAAAGACCCGAATTGTCTCGTTTCTAAATAAAAGTAACTTACTGGCATTTAAGGATGTCACTGGAGCACAGAACTCTGAGCAGTGGGCGTATTAACTCCGCCTGTACAAAAATCTTCATTAGCGGTCGCGCTATCCTTGCTGTATCCACCTGAAGCAAACAAAAAATCTATAATTTTTTAGCACCTTACTTTCTTCCAGGATCTCATCACTTGTCAAAAAGGGTGTATGGGTACTAAAGGCACTTTTGATAAACGTATTAGCATCTTTACTCAGACCAGCCATTCGCTGTGAAGGCAGGATTTCTTGCACTTTTTTTCGGAGAGTAGCTTGGAAGCAAACTAAACCGTCGGGATTCATCAGCCTCATTTCTTAATATTCGAGAAAAATGTGTCTTGAAGTAACTATTTTAGATTGAGGAACTTGGAGACGAAACGTTTGAGACAAATTTCGGCTCCATTACGAATGTCCGTTTGAAGAAATGCTCCATAACGAATGTCCGTTTGAAGAAATGCTACATGTCATCGAATTCTCGCGAGATGCCAACAAAGTACGGGCTAAAACCTAGGATAGCAACAACTGCTACAGAGACTGGTTATAAAGCAATAGGAAGCACCATCTAAAACGCTGGCTTGAGTCTTCCACACTCCACCTTCGAAACAAATAGCTTCCCTTAACTCTAAAACTCGAAAAATTAGTAATAAGCACCAAAGGCCTGAGGTAGCTAAGGGTTTTCGCAAAATTTCTGCAATGAGCTATTGCAGGTTCATAGCAGAGGAAGTGACAAAATATATCAGATCTTTCCACCGTAATAACGAGACCTTTTTAATCAATTTTTTTAACGAGAAGTAAAACCGATTAAAATTTAAACTGTCCCCAAATTTCATGCTCTGAGGGGTGTGAGCATTCGGAATTGCTCAGAACATTGGTGAAAAGCAACAAGTTACCAAAAAAAAAATCTTAACAAAACTTGGATGTCCACTGATATAATCTAATCATCAAGTTCCTGCTGCCATAGGCGTAGATTTAACATGCACTTTATTATTATTCTAAGCGTTTGGCCTCAGCATCTCTTGTAGCTTTCTTGTTCTGATCTTGCCAAACAGACGGCCACAGCAAACGAATGCTAGATTTCTTTCGATGCTCCAGGCGGAAATAGTAAATTTTGTCCAGTGTATATGTTACTAAACAAATTTACTTACTGATGGCAAGTATTCAAGAATTCCAACCGGT